CCGTCCTTCTCACATCACTATGACGATTTTAGCTGTCACCGCTGCACCTCCCATATTCACCCAGCTAACTACACCCATGAATGCTATCATACAACCCTAGCTACAACCACGCTACCCCAACTCCACCCTCACCCTTACACTAGCCTACACTCACAAAATCAATAGAACCCTCCGATATAGAACCTGTAACAACTCAAGTCCCATGGTCAAACCACTATACAGAGCTCATAGAAACCACAGGGAAAATATTCATCCAAGTTTTCCACTGGAAAACGGTTTTCATGATCTCATCTAAAAATAAAGTTGGCTATAACTTCATTGAAACGCTCAATCGAACTCTGAACATCCTAAAAAAACCTACAAAAATACCATCGCAATGCACGCAACAATGATCTTTCTACGCTTACTACGGTGCAAAGCGAAGTCCGAGAACGACGGATCTTCATCTAAAACAATAGCAAGGCGAGTTAAGTAATGACAGGACGGAGACTTAGATGACCAATATAACGAAGGGAAGGCGCAGCAAATGAGCTCGACAAAAGGAAAAAAACGAAAAAGAAAAACTGAGCCTGACGCACAACAGTTCAACCAACTATTGATTACTGGTAAAATATCAAGCTCAACGCACGGATCTCATGGACTATCTGATGTAAATGAATGGAGACGTATTCTAACACACTTCGGACAACAATCAGTTGCGAATTCAAAAACAATAACTAAAATTGCCAAAAACTAATTGGCTACCGAAGAATTTAAACCGGAACTAATGGAACCATATGACGGATGTGGATTAATACCCTTGGATAAGAACCCAGGAAAAACACTCATAGGCATAGAAGTTATGCGTAGGATCATAGGACGAACATTCGCCATATGCCTAAAAAACATACTCATGTCGCTCGGTTCGAACTACTAACTGTCTAGGACAAAAATGCGCATTGAATATGCGATCCACACGCTGAAAGATAAAAACAGCAAAACATCGTCGGTGCTGTTTTACTGATAGGTACCGAAAACGCTTTCAACCCGCTAAATCAAAAGCTGTTATTAAAAAATATCGAAAAGACCTAAGCGCCCAAATAGAGTAACAATAGTTGCTGGATACAATAACAGGCGGCAACTGCAAGATTTAGAACAGCAGTGTAAAAACCTGATTAACCTCGTCACTAACAAGTTTCAGCCCCAGACACTGATCATCCCCAAAACAATTCAGAACTGCAAAATCGCAGAATTAATATTTATAATCATGTGCTGTTTAATTTTATAGATAGATTTGTACATCTACATACACTTATGGTCTCACTTCAACCTAAATCTAACACAACAAACGTTCTGTCATGATGGCATCCATTTCTCGTTCTACGGTAAGGATTTCTTAACCAATTTTCTTGCAATTTAATTTATAAATTCTCTCGCTCACTTGACACCTCCGTCCTTCTCACTTCACTCAGCTAACGACACACATGAATGCAATCCCACGACCCTAGCAACAACCACGCTACCCCAACTCCACCCTCACCCTTACACTAGCCTACACTCACAAAATCAAGAGAACCCTCCGCTATAGAACCTGTAACAACTCAAGACCCATGGTCAAACCACTGTACAGAGCTCATCGAAAACACAAGGAAAATATTCATCCAAGTTTTCCACTGGAAAACGGTTTTCATGATCTCATCTAAAAATAAAGTTGGCTATAACTTCATTGAAACGCTCAATCGAACTCTGAACATCCTAAAAGAAACCAACAAAAATACCATCGCAATGCACGCACCAATGATCTTTCTACGGTTACTACTGTGCAAAGCGAAGTCCGAGAACGACGGATCTTCGTCTAAAGCAATAGCAAGGCGACTTAAGTAATGACAGGACGGAGACTTAGATGATCAATATAACGAAGGGAAGGCGCAGCAAATGAGCTTGACAAAAGGAAATAGACGAAAAAGAAAAACTGAGCCTGAAGCACAACAGTTTAACCAACTATTGATTACTGGTGAATGTCAAGCTCAACGCACGAATCTTTTGGACTATCTGATGTAAATGAATGGAGACGTATTCTAACACACTTCGGACAACAATCAGTTGCGAATTCAAAAACAATTACTAAAATTGCCAAAAACTTATTGGCTACCGAAGAATTTAAACCGGAACTAATGGTTCCATATGACGCATGTAGATTAATACCCTTAGATAAGAACCCAGGAAAAACACTCATAGGCATACAAGTTATGCGTAGGATCATAGGACGAACATTCGCCAAATGCCTAAAAAACGAACTCATGTCGCTCGGTTCGAACTACTAACTGTCTAGGACAAAAATGGGCACTGAATATGCGATCAACACGCTGAGAGAAAAAACCAGCAAAACCTCGTCGGTGCTGTTTTACTGATAGGTACCGTAAACGCTTTCAACCCGCTAAATCGAAAGCTGTTATTAAAAAACATCGAAAATACCTGAGCGCCCAATTAAGTAACAATAGTTGCTGGATACAATAACAGGCTGCATCTGCAAGATTTAGAACAGCAGTGTAAAACCCTGATTAACCTCGTCACTAACAAGTTTACGCCCCAGACACTGATCATCCCTAAAACAATTCAGAACTGCAAAATCGCAGAATTTACATTCATAATCATGTGCTGTTTAATTTTATAGATAGATTTGTACATCTACATACACTTATGGTCTCACTTCAATCTAAATCTAACACGACAAATGTTCTGTCATGATCACATCCATTTCTCGTTCTACGGTAAAGATTTCTTAACTAAATTTCTTGCAATTTAATATATAAATTCTCTCGCTCACTTGACACCTCCGTCCTTCTCACATCACTATGACGATTTTAGCTGTCATCGCTGCATCTCCCATATTCATTCAGCTAACGACACACATGAATGCAAATCCACAACCCTAGCTACAACCACGCTACCCCAACTCCACCCTCACCCTTACTTTAGCTTACACTCGCAAAATCAAGAGAACCCTCCGCTATAGAACCTGTAACAACAAGACCCATGGTCAAACCCATGTACAGAGCTCATAGAAACCACAAGGAAAATATTCATCCAGGTGTTCCACTGGAAAACGGTTTTCATGATCTCATCAAAAATTAAAGTTGGCTATAACTTCAATGAGACGCTCAATCGAACTCTGAACATCCTGAAAGAAAACCACAAAAATACCATCGCAAAGCACGCACCAATGATCTTTCTACGCTTACTACTGTGCAAAGCGAAGTCCGAGAACGACGGATCTTCATCTCAAACAACAGCAAGGCGACTTAAGTAATGACAGGAGGCAGACCTGGATGACCAATATAACGAAGGGAAGGCGCAGCAAATGAGCTTGACAAAAGGAAATAGACGAAAAAGAAAAACTGAGCCTGAAGCACAACAGTTCAACCAACTATTGAATACTGGTAAAATATCAAGCTCAACGCACGGATCCCATGGACTATCTGATGTAAATGAACGGAGACGTATTCTAACACACTTCGGACAACAATCAGTTGCGAATTCAAAAACAATAACTAAAATTGCCAAAACCTAATTGGCTACCGAAGAACTTAAACCAGAACTAATGGAACCATATGACTCATGTAGATTAATACCCTTAGATAAGAACCGAGAAGTAAGACTCATAGGCATAGAAGTTATGCGTAGGATCATAGGACGAACATTCGCCAAATGCCTAAAAAACGAACTGATGTCGCTCGGTTCAAACTACCAACTGTCTAGGACAAAAATGGGCACTGAATATGCGATCCACACGCTGAGAGATAAAAACATCAAAACGTCGTCGGTGTTGTTTTACTGATAGGTGCCGAAAACGCTTTCAACCCGCTGAATCGAAAGCTGTTATTAAAAAAACATCGAAAATACCTGCCAACGCTCAAGAAGGGACAACCCAGGGGGATCCGGTAGCAATGGCCGTGTACGGTCTAGCCATAACACCCCTCATAAAACTTTTATCAGAAGACAACGTAACCCAGAAATGGTACGCGACGGTAAATTAGGTATTTTACGAACCGTCCTCGAATAAATTGTATCACTAGGTAAAATTTTTGGCTATCATGTTAAAGCATCCAAATGCCAACTCATAGTCAAGGATGAAAAATTCGATGAAGCTGAAAAAAACTTCAAAAATACAAGAATCATTGTGAAAACAGGCACCCGAGTGCTTGCTTCTGTTGTAGGAACAGAATCTGAATGTAAAAAGATCGAGCTTAAAACCGCTTAAAAATCCCCTCAAAACGTTAATGCCTACTATACTAAAGGAGTTCAAGAAAACCTTTAATTTCTAACCAGGACAACGCCCAACTGTATGGAAAATTTAGAAACATGTGAAAAGATTATCAAAGAACAACTAGTACTGAACCTAGTCGGTAAAGACACATTAAACCCCCAGTTCCGTGAGATATCTTTTGAAATGTACGGCCTTAACATCCAGCTGCCTTCCGACCGAGAAACCTATCTAGAATGGTCTAAGGAAACATCTTTAGTACTGGATTCTCAAGATCCTGTTACAACAAAAACACAGCAAGAAAAAACTTGTACGAAAATCATAGAAATAGATAACTGATAGATTAAACCGAAATGAAAGAAAATTCATAAGCACCTTACATGAAGCTGACAAATATGAAATCGACATGGCCTCTGAAAAGGGAGCCTCTAACTTTACCACTACGCAGATACACACTCAACCTGAATAATTCAGAATTCAGAGATAGTATTTGCTCAAGATACGAATGGGAACAATAAAGAATTTTAATCGCTGAGTAGAGTAGTTACTGCCCACTGATTTTCGGATGCACCGGTGGGGCTGCTCCAACAGCCACGCGGACGATGCAGCGATTAGCCGAAACACTAAGTGAAAAGAGACAAGAAAGCTACCCAGAAACGATAAACTACATAAGAACTAAAATAAGCTTCGCTCTTCTGAGTTGTTAAGAACACTTTGTTGCAGAGCACAGTTCAATTTATCGACAATTCAATGAGCGCTATTGTAGAGGGAGGACGGCTGAGATAAATTAATATTACGACAATGCATTTAATGGTGATATATGGCTTCAATGATAAAATGATACAGTTTGCTGATATATAAATATTTGCATTTGTATAACGCTGGTATGGCCCTATCCAGCTTGTGCATTGACCTAAACTAAACGGAAGGGTCCCTTCTGTAATTTAATAATTGAAATTTAATTATAAATAAAGTAAACAACTGATTCTGTTGCTCTAAATATAAGAGTACATGTTCCGGTTTGATGACACTTGCTAATCGCAGGCATAATGGCATAATCAAGTTTACAAAAAAAGCGTGTTTCGAGAAAACTTGTTTTAAAAAATTTCAACGGCAGAAAAACGACCACAGAAGTCATTTAAATTACGCTAACTTGGTAACAATCTATTACAGATGTAGCCAACCTGAAAACTTAAATACAGATACAACTCTGTTTTCAGACTGAAGCAAAGGGTGAATTATAAATTATTTAATTTCGTTCTTGAAATCTCCGTTATCGTTTTGTGAACAACCTTTGTCTTTTTGTAGAGCAGCTCGCATATGCAATAGACTATATAAGCTGTCGATACTCTGAGGATTGCCTTTGATTGTATAAAGAGTCATCCCACTCTGATTTTCGGTCAGCGAGCTCAGCTTGATAGCCTTCTCAGATGCTTTTTCAATTATTTGACCGGCAAACAATTTGCAGTTTAAGATCAGTTGAAATGTAGCATTAGTACGCATCACGACTCTGACAGAAGCCGGTACATTGCTATCTTTGTCCTTCGATTCCTCGTTCACTTTCAAGATACCTTGACCTCTTTCCTTCCAATTTTTCACCTCTGAGTCATATTGAAACAATTTAGCGCTCATTTGAAATACGGTAAGCTCATTTTCTTCGCCGGTTTTGCAATGACTTTGAGGTATGATTTTCGAGCTGATTTCAGAGTCAACGTGTCCATTTTTTTCTCCAAACAGCATTGGCGGAGGCTTTACACAGTCACCAAATGCTTTACTAGTAATATCAGCTTCATCTTTCTTGTTCTGTGACAAATCATTTTCTGTGGATAATGTTGTGGCCCTGCTATCAAGATTTTGGCCAAAAGTGAACGTTGAAGTAGTGGAGAATCCTCCGAAAACATGACCAGTAGTTCCCAGTTTTCCAGACTTTGAGGCGTCGATCTCCTTCAGCGTGATATCTGTACTACCTATGGTCGTTGATTCACCTACATTCACTTTTGTTTCGCTAGTGCTACCTGATAGGGTTGAGAGCTCATCTCCGTTCTCTTCGTTTTTAGCTGATTCTGAATCAACTGTAGAAGCTTTGGATATACTAACAGTAGATAACCTTGTTAGAGAAAGGAACTTCTCGGACGGGTTTGTAGAATTCTGGTCGACTGTGGTCACATCATTATTATTTTGCTGGACTGAGAGAAACAAACTTGACGCATTTGATTCTAATTTGGATGGCTTCAGAAAATTCAAAGACTTGTTTTTTGGTTTTTTAGAATTTTCTGTTTCTTCATCCACTCTTCCGAAAAGCGTATCGAATCGGTTTGTGGTTTTGCTTTTTTTGGCATCAGGTTGTGATATGGGGCTATCTAAATCATCTCGCCGATCAGAGAAGCCGGTTCTACCCGCGCTTGATTCTACAACGACCAAGTTGCTTCTCTTCAACACAGTACCTTCTTTCTTTTTATTCGAATCCATAAAAAATTTGATCTGAAATTGGCCAATTTTAAAGATTTCCTGCAGATACGCAAGTGATCATCTTCGCTACTAATCATATAATCAAGCCGCCGATGAAACGCTACCTGACTCAATTTCAGTACAGTAGAAGAAGAAGAAAGAACACTTGAATTACTATACAATAAAGAGCCGAGGCATCAGTGTAGCAAAGTGTAAATAATAAAATTGGTTATAAATTCATTGGTTACATCAAACAAAAACAAAACATCAGAAAACAAGATATAAACAAAACAAAAAAAAACAAAATCGGTTACAGTTCGGAAATTGGTTGATTAAAGTATATGAAGTTTTGGATACTATAGAAAAATAAAGATTTAAGAATTAGGAACAAGCTGGTAATAAAACGTTACAAACAATTTTACAGATAGTCCAATTATACAGCGTATATACAGAGTATATACAGTTTCTCTTTCAAGCAATGTGTGAAAAATTAAACTGAATTAAATCATATATAACTAGCAAAAACGGAAATCACGCCACCTATTTGTATTAGTACATTTGGATTAAGAATTTTTTAAAATTGTTAATTCAAACGTTTTCGCACATTTTGTGCATCGTCAGGATATAAAAATTTTTATTTACAATAAAATGATCAAAGATCATGTATGAAATTCAAAAAGAACATGTTAGAAATTTTTAACCAATCACATTCTTACATCTGTTATTACGTAATCATTATTTCATCGATTATGACAATTTGCTTACTTTTTTTGTTACTTGAGTCATAATTTTTCGATTTGATGTTTTATCCAAACTGACATGTCAGTTTATTTTTTCAAAAATTGCAATTTTAGTCATGTTTAAACATGTACTATAATTTTAATGTCAGCTCCCTGCTCCTGAACTCCTCGCGCGTGTTAATTCTGGGGCGTTCTTTCCAAATATGTAAGGCCTCCAGAGTGAGGAGTTTCTGTATGTTACTTGATTGATCTATAATCTCGGACTTAAGCTCAGCGCTCTTACCATCCCTGTCACATTCTCTCAAATGTTGCCCTACTGGCGAATCTTCCTTGTGATGCTCTTCAATCCGCGTGGTCAAATGCCGGACCGTTTGTCCAACATAGGTGGAATTACATCCACTACATGTGAGCTTGTAGACCACTCTGGATTTCAAATCTTTCGCAAAGGGAGATTTAAGGGACGGTAGGCAAGTCTTGAGCTTTCTCGTAGTAAATATCACTGGGGCTCCGGCGTTTTGACGCAGTTTGGCAGCAAACCACTCTGATGCATTACCCCGGTATTGTAATGTTATAATGGGTGCACTGACCTTTAAAGGATCTTCCTTGACTGATGTTACCGTTGTTCTTGTGTCAGTTTTTCGGTCGATGATCTTATTCAACGTTCTTAATACGACACCATCTGACCATTTTTCAGGGTATTGATTATCCACCCATTGTTCTTTTTTAATCTTCATTGCCTTGTCAAAGTTTTCCCATGTTGATGTACTTCAAAAATCCGATGAACAGTACCCTCAACTACATTGCGTTTATATGTTTTATTGTAATGGAGCGCAGCTTCTGAAGATAAGGATAGTCCCCGTATCCGTTGGTTTTTGATACCATCCACATGTTACCTTTTTTCGTGAGTCCACATTAATGTTCAAATCTAGAAAGGCTAAGTCTCCGTTCGAATCCGGATTTTCGATAGTGAATTGTAAGTTGGGGTGGAGCTCATTAGCTGCTTTTAACACTATATCTGGATCCCCCTTTACCGTCCTCACAATATCATCTACATATCTTAGGAACGCTTAGACATTTTCTGTTGGTTTTTCTTGATCTCGCTGCTCTTTACATCTCTTACAATACCAAACAATTTCTGAGATTTGCTCCTATTCTTTGTCGGATACATTACTACACTTTAAATGGTACCAATTTAAACAAGCTTCGCATTCGATCCCCTTACTTCTTTATGTTACCCTCCGCTCGCAATCAGGGCATAGGCCATTCCGGTTTTCATTTAGCTGCGTCAACGCAGGTACTTCCTTCATTAATGCATATTCGTACTCCTTTAGCCATAAATTGGCAAGAATGACAGCAAGGGATGCACCCATTGCCAACCCATCCTTTTGTACGTACCATAAACCATTGCATTTGAAGTGCACCTTACTTACAGCCCAGCCATGTTCAACAATTTCTTCATAGTTCCGCGTGCCAGTTTAGGAGGACTAGTTTGTTCGTATAGTTTCCTCAGTGCTATATCTATTGCCTCCTTTAGTGGGACATTAGTGTACAAACTTTTGACATCCAGGGAGATAATACTCTCATTATAGTCTAGATCTATGTTCTCTATGATCTCCCGAGCCATTTGTGTGTTTGTCTCAATGTTTGCCCCCTCAATGTTGTCAAAAAAATTTGGCCAAAGTTTTATTTAGATGTTCATATGAGCTCCCTGGCAGTGACAGTACGGGACGGAGAGGGGTTCCTTTCTTATGTACTTTAGCCAATCCATATAATCGAGCTGGCTGCCCTCCCGTGGACCTAAGCCTACTATACAGTGCCTCATCGATCTCATCTTTCTTTTTCATGGCCAACAGTTCTTTGTTGATGTCTTTCTCAATTTTCATAACAACACTATCAGTTAAACCTGGTTTTTCGCTAAATTGTTCCGATTGCAGCAGCTCAGTTAGTTTAGCCTCATATGTCGTTTTCTTCATTACACAGAAGCCAACACCTTTATCGAATGGGACTGCCAAGAGACCATTGTCCTTCAAATACTTCCTGGCTTTCTCAATCCCTCTATCCGACGGTGATTGCCGCACACGTTTAGCGTATGATTTTGCAGCTGCTTCAATTTCACATAATTTTTCACCTGGTACCTTTTGCGATTTATGCTCAGATAAAAAATTATCAAGAAAGTGAAGTTCATTGAAATGATCCCTCACCGGGTGCTTTGGGCCAAAACCTAACACTTCATGAACCCACTTGGGTAGCTCAATGCCATCTAGTGCTCTGACTGATTTGTCATTCACTTTCATTAACGGTCTGTCCTGCCGCTCTGCTAGCTTTTTTAACTTCTTTTCATGTCTATCCTTGATGTCGTGGATAGCAATTCTAGCCTGGAGCTTTAGATAAAATGCTATTGAGGGCCACCATTGTTCATCTATCCCTCTCCGCACTACCTCTCTTGCCTTAGCTAGATCATCCTCTATCTTCTTCTCTTCTGACCTTGCCTGATTTACCTCTGTTCTTAGGAGTTTTAATTGAAAGCTATGCACCGCTTGGTCCAAAAAAACCCCATTTTCTGGCACCCGAAATCTCAAAAAATCTGGTATTATGTCATTGCTTTGACATTTCCGTAAAAACTTCAATCGATAGAAATTGTTGTTTAATTTATTTGAATACTTCAGGTAATTCAAAACTAATTTCCAAGTTTGTTTTTTCCTGAGTATCCATCTCAGCATCGGTGGGGGCAAAATTACGGCGGTCATTATCCTGCAGGCCACGAGCACTTAAACTCATGCGGCACTCAGCAGGATAATTCACACAGTAGATTCACTTACCCAATCCGCGCCCTTTCAGCCGATGGTAGAGAGACGTCAGTCGTTGTTTCCTCTCTGCGTGCCTTCGCCTTGCGTCGTCCTTGTGATGGTTTCTGAGTCCGCGCTCTTATCTTTGAGAATATCCCGGGCAAGTTCTCTCTATGTGTCAGCACAACTCGCAATGACTTCAACTCAAGTTCACTCGATTGATGAACTTCCAGGTATTGTCTCACCAAAGCGGGATCCTGCCTCTTGCCTCTCGAGATCAATTTCGTTGATGGGACTATCAAGATCCCTGTACGCATCAGAGAATCAAAGATATCTGTCGTTCTGGTTCTTCTGCAATATATAATCGCCTTAAACCGATGTCGCTTTGATTGCAAATACGAAATTAAATCGTCCAGAGGATAAAGCGTGTTGGCATTGGTTCGGTGTTTCGACAAACTGTTATTCAATACGTCGTGCCAAAGAATTATCTCCTTGTCCACCAGAGGATGCTCTTCCAGAAGAGTCTGTAAATTTTGTCTCTTCCTCACGGTATGAGGATTCAGCGACACCTCGTTTTATTTCAATCCAGTCTGAACAAAATTCCATTGACGTTTACTTTTTGAATACGTTTGTTTAGGAAGCTAGCAATTAAAGCAATTGCTCCATTTGAAAAACCGAGAGAAAGCATTTTTTCAATTAAAACTTCATGCGAAATAGAATCAAAAGCCTTGGACAGATCTAATAAAGCTGCATGTACGATTTTTTTTGAATTTGAAGTACATCGGACAGATTTTCATATAGGATTGTTTCTAAATTCACTCACGTAAAATTCTTTCAATTTTTTCTTGAATTCTGTTTTCGATTTTTCTAAATTGCGCAAAATTATGGGCAGTGAATTCCATTTTTTAGAAGTCAAATGAAAAAATGATTTTTGTAGAGAAGCAGTCGAACAATGTTTGTCAAAAATAATTTGTTTCGTTCTTTCATTGAGCCTATAATTGGCAGTCGGTAGTCTCAGTGTATTTTCAAAAGCCTTTTTTTTGTTTGTAAGATTTTGGTATAAGTATGTTATACACTTTAACTCAATTCTTTTCTCGATTCCAATGAATGATTTGCTAATGCGAAGAAGGGAAGAAGATTTAAATTTCGATCTGAAATATGTTCTTTTTAGCGCCCAGTTCAACTGTTTCTCTAGAGATAGCATCAAAGTATTTCTCTTGGAGATAGCACCAAGGATTTTGACTGGAATACATGATGAAGGGACTCATGACTGTAACCTCGGTTACTATGATACTTTTGACCTTTTGATTACCTAAAAAGTAGCATTAATTTGTTGTAAAAAAATTGCTGAATAATCTAAATGTGATAAAACTAGACAATGAAGCAAGGCAACTAATGATAATGTCGGCAGTTGTTGTCCAATTGTATCAATAGTTTTAATCCCTTGGGCCACTTTTTGGAGAATTGTTTTGATTTGAGCATGAAAAGATAAACTTGAATCAA